CTGTTACCTCCTCTAGCCCCCTACACCCTTCCCTATCTCTGTTACCTGCTCTTGCCCACATAACCATCCAGGATCTCTGCACTTGTCCAATTCTGGTATTCTGAATATGAGCCGATTCCCGTTTGCTCCATGATCGTCAGCCATGCTGTCAGCTGCTTGGACCCCGAGCTCCTGAATTCCCTCCCAAAAACCACTCCTCCAGGCTCTCTCTCTCTCTTCTATGCACCTTCTCTCCCCCGGGCTCCCTCTCTCCCCCAGGCTCCCTTTCTCTGTTAGCCTCCCTGTCTCTGCCAGCCTCTCCATCTCTGTCAAGCTCCCTCTCTCCCCCAGGCTCCCTGCCTCCCCCAGGCTCCCTCTCTCGCCCAGGCTCCCTCTCTCCCCGAGGATCCCTCTCTCCCCGAGGATCCCTCTCTCCCCGAGGATCCCTGCCTCTAAGCTGAAGACACAAATAGAGGCTCCCTGATTGGCCAAGTGTTGGGTCACTGAACCATACATGACGGGGTGTTCAATTGCTCTTGGGTCACGCCCCTGTTGTTGTGGTAATGAAGCCAAGCCAAGTCCCAACCACCACACAGTTGGGGCTACGAGACTGGAAATTGCAGCGTTTGGTGCCAACCCTTTTCAGGTTCAGGTGATCATACTTACAGCATTGATCCCAGACAGCTGCTGGGAGAGCTGAAGGATGATTGCGATGGAGATGGGTTGGCGATACGACGCCATCTTGAAGAGCTGAGCGATGGTAACTTTGGGCTCCATGTCCATTTTCCTCTTTTCTTCCTTCATCTCCATCAGTGACTTCGTAACATCCTGCCTCCCCGTCAACATCCTCAAACCTGCAGGGGAAGGGTGGGTGTGAAAGGAAGGAAAATGTTTCGTCGTCTCCCGTTTACTCCCCCACCTCTCCGTAGATGGTTGGGCACATTTAGTGGATCTCAAACGCTCTTGAATCAGAGGGAAGTGGGTTCGAGTCCCACTCTGGAGATTTCATGATAAGGCATCACTCCAACACATTCCCGAGCAAGGGCTGGAGTGTCTGAGGGAACCATCCTTCAGCTGAGATGGACTTAAGTTCCACAGTCACTCCTGAAAGAGTAGCCCTCGGGTCCTAGCCCCGACATTTATCCCTCAACCAACACCGTTCAAAAACTGTCGCTGCTGGTGGGATCTTGCTGTGTGTGAATGGCTGCTACATTTCCTTTATTCCAATGGTGACTACGCCACAAACAAAAAAAAGCCATCGGCTGGGAAATGATATATTTTGTTCATTCACATGATGCGGGTAGGCCCAGGATTTATTGCCTATCCCTGATTGGCCCGAAAGCGTCGCTATGGACATCCAGTGGAGATGCTAACGACATGCAAGCCTATCACACATCACGCTAGACCGGGTTGGCGAAGGGGAAGCAGAGAACGAGGCCTCCTGGGAGGCTGTGGACTACTCACATTTTTTGGCCTTGCCCTCTTCTTTGCGGATGATGTAGAGGTAGCGTGGGCTCTCGGGGCACAGCGGCAGGAGTGTGGCCTGTAGGACAGCGGGGAACACCGTCACAGCGAGGAGCAGAGGCCAAAGTTCGTCGGTCCCCATGATGTCGTCCAGGCCAAAGATCTAAGCGAGACACACAAAGGGAGACTTGTCTGTGAGAGGCTTCAAGCCAGGCCTGCAAGTAGGCCCGTATCCACGACAACATAACTTCTAGTCTCTTGCGCTCTCTCCCTTTATCTGAATCCATTCATTTCAAATCACCCGCCTGGTGTTATGTTAAACGTGTGTCCCATGTCGGGTACACATGAGTCCTGTGCTTTGTACATGGGTGTCCCACAGAAAATAGGAGGAGGAGTAGGCCATTCAGTCCTTTGAATATGCTCCTCCATTTAATACGATCAATGCTGATCATCCAACTGGGTACCTTGTTCTCCCTTCGATCCCTTTATCCCTAAGAACTAAACTATATCTAATTCCTTCTCACAAACATTGAATGTTTTGATCTCAATCACTTTCTGTAGGAGAGAATTCCACAGGCTAATCACTCTCTCTCCTTATCTCAGTACTAAATGGCCTATCCTATGGTCTTAGGCCCTAATCTGGACTCCCCAGTCATTGGGAACCCCTTTCCTGCATTTTCCCAAGTCTCGTCCTGTTAGAACATTACAGGTTTCTGAGACGTCCCCCCCTCATACACAGCAGTGAATATAGTCCTAATGGATTCAGCCTCATCTTCGTACGTCAGTCCTGCCATCCCAGGAATCAGTCTGGTGTGCCCTGTTCCCTGGACACACAGTTCCCCTGCTCAGCCCCCAGTGTTTCCCGCAAACAAATGCAGAGGACACTGGAGAAACCCAACAGGCCCGGCAGCATCGATGGAGAGAGAAACAAAGTGAGGGTTTTGAGTCCGGCATGGCTCCTCTGCAGGAGTTGCAAATGTTTTATTTTTATAGCTTTGAGAGAGATAGAGGAAGATGATGCTAACAGATGGTAGAAAGGCCCTTGTCAAAATCAGTCTCAAATCTAAACGGGCTGCTAACAAAAATCTCCTTTACACTGGAGAGACCAAACTCGGACTGAGTGCCCGCTCTGTGGAACATCTCGGCTCTGTTTGGATCATCGACCCGACTTCCCAGTTGCTTGCCATTTCAATAAACCATTTTGCTCCCATTTAGACGCTGCCTGCAGCAGTGATCCAGCAAAGGACGACACAAGCTCGAGGAACAACGCCTCTGCTTCCGATTACGGAAGGTCTTGGAGCAGGACGACGCCATTCAGCTATTCAAGCCTGCTCCGCCAACCCCCCATACAATCGTAGGTGATCTCAACTTGCACTCAATTACACTTTCCTGCCTTTGTTCCGTCACCCTTCAACCTGTAACTCATTAAAAAATCTGTCTCCTTCTAAAATTTACTCAATACCCCAGCATACACTGCACTATGGAGGAGTCAATTCGACAGATTCATGAGCCAATGACAAAACTCATTCCTTGTCATCTCTGTTTTCAATCGGCCATCACTTATCCTCACAGTATAGCGTCTAGTATTGTACTAGAAAGGGCCACAAGACTAAACAACTTCTCTACATCTACTTTCTCAATCCCGTTTAGCATCTTATGGACCTCAATTAGATCTCATCTCGTTATTCTGGACTCCAGGGAGAAGAGGTTTGTAAACACTCAATCCCAAACTCAAGGAGCTCCGTAAATCCTCAATCCCAAACTCAAGGAGCTCCGTAAATCCTCAATCCCAAACTCAGAGTACTCTGAAAACATTCAATCCCAAGCTCAGGGAGCTCTGTAAACAGTCAAACCCAAACTCGTGGAGCTGTGTAAACACTCAATCCCAAACTCAGGGAGCTCCATAAACACTCAATCCC